ATCTCAAACGTGAAGGAGGCAGATCTGAAAAGGCCAGGGCAAGGAGAGGTGAGAGGTCAAGCCGATCCCCCAGGAGGAGCTGCGGAAAGATTCCGTGAATAGTTGGCAGGCAGGAGAGGGGTTTGGGAATCATCTCTTCCCTCTGTGCTGAATCGCAAGGGCCTGATGCCCTCCTCCCCCCCCCCATAGAGCACGCCTTCCCGGTTTCAGGAAATGTATGCAATCATAATGATGGCTTGGAACTGACAGATCCAGCAGCTCCTATTCTGCGGTAGACAAAAGACCCGAAGCCACCTTACTGCATTGTAGAAAGCAGTGAATCCTGGATGATTCTTCTGAGCTCCTCCTTGGGAATTGTTTCCTGTGATGGAGGTGCATGCCATTAAACCTGCTAAGTCGTCCCTGTTTTCTTCTTCCACATTTTTATTTCTTCTATCTATCTATCTATCTATCTATCTATCTATCTATCTATCTATCTATCTATCTATCTATCTATCTATCTATCTATCTATCTATCTATCTATATCTCTGTGTTTGTCTGTCTGTCTGTCTGTGGACTGATGGCATCTTTCTACACAAGCTAATGTGCCCCCACATAAAGAATTTCAGACTTTACAAAGCTGGACGAGATTTTGTCCAGCAGTTTTTGATCAGCTCCAAAGGCTTCCCGACCATCATCCTTATGTGCCTCCATGTTGTCCTAACCTAAGGTGCCACTAGATTTCGCACGTCATTGTTATCCGGAACTGTGTCCCTGCCACTTCTGATGTTTTGGGGTCCTTCCTCTTCTTTTTGTTCGCTGTCGAAGGAGGGGTGGGAGCAACAGAATAAATTGCATAAGGCAAAACCTGCCCGTGGGGATACATGCTGCACAATTAAACCCCTAACGAAATCTCCCCTCCTTTCCGCACCACCTCCCTTTTAATGTTGAGACATAAATGCAGAGATTGCCAACGTCCTTTTGCTGAAACCTAGAGGTAGAGGTGCTGTTTTCTAAACTAAGTTAAGGCTGGTGAACTGCTTTAACTAGCACTCGCATTGCCATTATTTCTCAACTTCCCCCATTCAGTGATTTGATCAGGGGCCATTCCATACAGCTTGCATGTTAGATTCTCCTTTCTTCTGCACATGCATGTCTTCTAAGAGTAGCAGCACATACTCCCTGATTTCAGATAATGTGCCTTGTAGGGAGTGAATTTAATCTTCGGAAGGCTGTGTCTTTCTCAGGAGCCATAAAAAACATATATTCTTCTCTAATATGGATTCTCTTCATTTGTATTTAGTTAAAACACACAGAGAGACAGAAACAAAATCGGGGAAATTGATTCTTCATTTGCTTTGGGAAAATATAGGTTATATGTTTCTTGTTTTGTACATTGGCAGTTTATTATGCAAAACGTTAATCCTGTGGGATTGATAAAGGATCTCTGTATTCGCTGAAATACTTTTTAGAAGTATTGGCAAAATGGTTTTACTCATGCAATAGGCAAACTATATTTAACAAATGCAGTTTGAAAATGCTTTAACGTGTATTACTGTGTCTTTGTTTAAAAAGGGAGTTTTCTATACTACACATCAGTTTATGAAGCTACACTGGAAAGATTTGATGATGAGTTAAACCAGCGGCATAAATTCTCAGGCCTTCTGTATGTTATAGATTAACAACAAGCCAAGTATATATTTTTTAAAAAAGAAATAAATAAAAATGAAAGGGATGTCGGCATCAATCAAGAGCAGCTATATTCAAAAACGTATGGAATACCTGTCATCAGTTTTGTCAAACCTAGTACTAAATTTAAAGAAGGATCCTGTAAAAGTTTATTCTAAGTCAAGTTCCCTTGATTTCAATGTGACTTTTATTCCAGGTACATCTTAATTCCAAGGAGCTCCAAGGATTACAATCTTGGAGTTCAGCTTTAAAATCATAAATTTGCCCCATGGCCTACACACATAGCTTTAATCATCATCATCATCATCATCATCATCATCATCATCATCTCAGAACTGCAGAGCTGGAAGGGACACCATGAGATCATCAAGTACAGCCCTTGTCAAGGAGGCTCAGTGGGGGAATCAAACTCCCAACCTCTGGCTTCACAACCACTGAGCAGTTTTTAAAGAAGAGGTTTCTCAAAAACAAAGTTGTTTTCTGAAAAAAAAAAACTAGAAAAGATTTAAGCTTAACGTAGGCGCATGTTGATGCGTATTACCAGTAATTTCCGAAAATAATCTCAGCTCAACATACCTTCTCAAAAATGTGCTCCATTTTTCTCCAGTGGGGTCTAAGTCCAATAAATAAGTCCAATAAATAAATAATAATAATTTTTTTGGAGAAAAGAATTGGTACCACTGTATATGCAGGACTATGAGTGCCTTACTTTGAAATAGTTTTGGCACCCTAAATTGATCTGACTTTGGGAACTGAACCAAATCTTTTAAACAAAGCTTCGGGAAAATCGATGGCTCTCAGTTGTGATATTACACCTATTCCATGCCTGTTGGTTTGCATCGAAAGGTTAGGTCCTTAAAACAGGGTTTCATTGGAACACAGCCCAAGAATCTTCCTATACTGTGCAAAGTTTGTCTGTTCCCCTTTAATGTTCCATCGCAGAAAGATACAAAAGTCCCCTATACTGTGCAAAGCTTGTCTGTTCCCCTTCTGTTCAGCCAATGTTCCATCGCAGAAAGATACAAAAGTCAACTGCTACAATATTGAACTTACTGAACATCTTGTAAAATAACATCATCCGGGCTTGTGCGGCTCGGAGAGAAACAATAGCAATTCAACCAAATAAAATAAATTAATGACTTCCCGTATGGCAGGAAGAATTACAGCCGTCAGAGAGAAGGATAA